TGATTTCAGCAAAAAGCTAGAAGTCAGTAGCTGTGTTTCCATTGCAAATGTGCACAAAACTTTGTCGATATTCTGTTAATGTTGAAAAACAGAGTTTCACAACTGCAGTGTTTCCATTAAGTAATAAATGTTCTTAAAGTCACGTGAATACGTTTGTTCTCATGATAAGTCATTACAAACATGGCAGCGATGGATGTAAACACATAGCATGTTGCTACCACGACACTAGCGCTCATCATCAGAGGAGACGTCGGCGTCTTTTATCGAGGCTTTCCAGAGACAAGTCCCTACTTGGGAGCGGCTACGTATGCTGTGTTTTTGGGAAATTGTAGTCGGTGAGTTTACTATTTTATACTACTTCTGTGATATTACTACTACTTCTACTTCCTGTTATCTTCTTCATCATCGTCTTTTTCACCAGTAGAAACAGACGGTTGTTGATCACGTGACTCCTGTGATGTGAAAAAACTGTTTCCATTGCAGTTTTGTGAAAAACACCAATTTCGATACGGCTGAAATACCATCTTATCCTAGCGCAAAAACATTTTCGAAAAACGTATTTTTTTTCGAAATTGACGTGTTTCCATTGAGCAAATTTATTTTCGAAATTCTAATTTGCACATTTTCATGGTGAATGGAAACACAGCTAACGTGTTGCTGTGCTTCTGCCCACATGCATAGCACCTTGCTAACAGGACTACAGGGACACTGTTGCTCTCTCCTGCAGCTTGCACAGGTTGTAAACCCAGCCTTAACTTCTTACTACGACTGAAAACCAGTAGTGTGCAAGCAGATTTGCACACTTGCTGTTCTTCATCTTTGCACATTGTTGTGTGAGTGTCAGCATGCTTTGCAAACCATAGCAGATGCCAAATATAGGGCATGGCTCATTAGATATTTTCCTTTGTGGTGAGAGCAGTGACGCTCTGCTAGCCACTGAAGTCCACTGTTAGAAAAAAAGAAAAGAGTTAAGTTTTGTTCGTGACATCAGCTTTCAAGAAACTTCATGTCCTTCAGATGGTCCTACACACTGATTCATATCTGAACAAAATAATCTGTTTATGCAATCGCCCTTGATGAGGGGAAAATCCTGTCAACTTTCACAAACATCACTGTCAAAAACAGATAAATCACAAAGAAAAGGCAGCCCTCCTCTCTCTGTACTGTTTTCATCCCACTTCCTGTTCTCACACACGACCACACACCAACCACCCCAAAAAACACAGCAGGCTTTTTTTGTGGGAAATGTCCGCTCGTTGCTCACACTTTCATGTGCAGCTTTAACTAAATTTCACAGAACGATGGGGTTCTGAGGGGTAACATTGTTTAACTGCTTACAGTTTGAACCCTTGTTGTTGTTTTTGCCTCCACAGATGGAAGACAGAAGAAATCATGCTGTGTGATCATGTGAACTGATCCTTTGGTGGTGCTGTGAGTTCCCATCTTTTCCCTTCCAGTTCTGACTCAACGTCTGGGACCAGTTCCTCAGAAAGTCACCACACGCTGTGAAGAGWTTACACCATATTAGGAGCTGAACGAACAACAATATCTGGACGTCAGATAAGCTCAGGAAAAACAACTACTCCATGAAAATCCTACGAACTGAAAATATTTCCCACTATGGACACAAAACCCAAAGTTTTTTAGTAGATTGTTTACAGACAGTGAACAGGATGTGATGTTAAAAAAACTGCTATATTTGGAGGCACTTCTTCAGAACAAAAATGTAATTATGACCAGTAAACGGAAACACAAATCTGAGAAAGGCAGCAGATATCCTGCTGGTAATGGTGTTTATAATGAACAGCTGAATGATAGAAAACAAAACAAAAAATAATAAAACTTGAACTGGGATTGGGTCCAAAAATATATTGGCTCCGATGTTTACAACTCGTCCTAACAGGGTGCTTTAACAGTTACGAGAAAAGGTTGTCTGGATCTTTCCAGTAAGAACATAAACTCTACTAAACAGTCATAGGCTTGTTCCTTTCTCTGCTAAACAAACCAAATTATAACAAAAACCCTTTTAAAACTGATTGTGTCTTTTTTATCTCTAAAAACAGCTGCTTTGTTCTGCCGTCTGGTCTCTTGCGTTGGCTTTTGGACTAATATGCAGATGAAGTTGAGCACACTTCCTTATATCCATTTCAACTGATACAGTCTGGAACAGGCCCGTCAGCAATGATGAAATTTTATATTCATGAAATTTCCACAGCAATCTCTATTCATGGAACGTATCAAGGGATTACCTACGTAAATTATGTATGCTGAGCAGGCCAAGGAGAGGCCGTGACTGGAACAAACAATACAGCTTTAAACCCTCACTATTGACATAATATAACATACTATGTCTGATTATGAAGCAAGTTTCACACCATAAATACAGCAACACATTTTTTCCAGGGGTATGTTGGTTATTATAGAGTAAAAAACAATCACAGCTGCTTTACAGTGACTGTTATTCCCTCTGAGAACAGTGAGGTGAAGAATAATCATTACTGGATTTATTTCACAGTATTTCATTACACAGTCCGGCTCTTTATAAAGTGCTTTAAACCAAACTGCTGTTTCACTACAAACCTTTAAAAGAATCATACAATCACAGGTCCTAATGCAATTAATTATCTAAATTAAAAATATTCAGTGATAACATATTTTACATACAGGCTGACCAATCAGGTGAGCTGATGCAGCTCTGCAGAAATCAGGGCCGACATAGAACACCATTTTATGTGGGGTCATTGGGCCTCATGCAAGAACCGTTGGTACACAGATTTGTTCTTAAGTTGTGCGTACGAGTGATTTAGGAGAATTTGTGACATTCACCAATGTTTTCATTTTCTAAGATTTTTTTCAGATACGAACAAAATTCAGGAGTGGTCCAGACCTGTCGTATATTTTACCAGCAGTCAGTCTGCTGTTATCCAGACGGGTTTTCTTCACTAATAACTTTATACAGTGGTTTGCAAAAGTATTCATACCCCTTGAAC